AACCTTTGACCCCATATCATACTTACCTTTAATAATTGGGGAGTATAACAATAGTTTCTGAAATATACGTATATAATTTTTTTCAAATTGTATGGAAATAGACTACAAAAATGTAGTTCCAATATCCATTATTCACAAACCTTAATTCAACAACTATAGTTATTTTGTGTCTTAATTAAATCAATGTATTTATATTCATCATTACTTTAATATCATAGATGTACTAAATTTTATTTTTCAGTCATAAGCAATACTAACCTTTTTAAATGCACAATATGAAATCATAATATTTGTAATGTGAACCTTGAATATTTTAAGCTGAACCAAATAAAAAAAAACCAAATACCTGAATCTAATTATTATAAAAAAAAGAAAATTATGAAACCTGTCATGCAACTAAAAATAGCTCTTATTGTAATTGTTTTTTTTTTAGCTTGTTACAGGCTGTTATTTACTTTTTCTTCTTAGTTTTGACTCTTGTCATCAGTCGTTGTTCCAACAAGGTCAATGGTTAGAAGTTCTCTTACACCCAAAATATACTAGTATATTATTAAAATAATAAGAGAATACTTACATTGTAATAAAATTGCTTGCATGCGACGTTTAGTAAGGTCTTTTAGATTTTGTAGTTCTTCTTCAAATTGGTTTTTTTCTGATAGTAAACGCCTCACATGAGAATTGGTTGATTGAATTATTGAATAAAATATATTAACATTACGTTTGTTACAGTCTCCTCGTTCTAACCATGTAATAACTACTTGTACAGCATTTAAAAATGATGTATCAGCTATAAAATAATAAATATAAGTATTAATAATAAAAATTTTAATCAACTATAAAATCTTATTAAGTAATTACCCTTAATTTCTTCACTAACAGATAAAGCTTTAGCTTCAGTAAAATGTGGTATTAAAGGAGGAGATGGAGGAGGATTTGACCGAGTTTGTTGTAAACGCCTTTCTTCACGCATTAAATGTCTTTTTTTCATTTCCCATTCATACTGATCATCACGGGCTTGAGCATAATCTACATGTAAACGTGATGCAGATACCAGCTCTTGACCTTTCATCACTAATCGATATCCTAGGAATAATAAGTATATAATCATTAATATTTATAGTCATAAAGAATTTAATGAATATAATATATAATTAAAAAGAAAGAATAAATATTCATTGATGCCAAAGCCTAAAAAATAATCAATTAATGCAAATTAGTTGTTTTACCTGAGAGTTCTAATGCAAGGTCAACCGAGCATTCATTCTCAAAACGTATATGACAAAATTTTCTATTACTTAAACGAATTGTCAATATTTCTCCATAATTGGTAAAAATTGATTTCATAATGTCTTCAGTAATACTATCTGGTAAACCACCAACAAATACGGTTCGACAGCCTGGTGGCCTTTCTCTAGAAGTAGGCGTAGGAGCGTTTGCAGGAGGTGGGTATAATGTACACAGTTCTAATTGTATAATGCGTTTGTCTGTCTGAATAACATTGGAATCTGGCACTCTTGGTGTTGCATGATTAACAATCATTGAAGAAGGAGTTAGCATTCCACCCATGACACCATACTAAAAAAATTACTCATGAAATAGGTACTATCTTTTAAAAGATATAATTTTATACTAACTTGTCCCATAAACATTGCAGAATCCATAACATTTAATGGGTTAATTAAATTAAATGGGTTAAATTGAGGCATTATTTCATTCCATAAAGGAGATGTTCTAACTGGTACAGGAGGTTTATTGGAAGAAATATTTGCATCAATAGGCAAGTCTATTAAGGATGGTGGTTTATCTCCATGTATGTCAGTAAATTGCAAGTCACTGAAAATAATACAATAATAGTTAGCATAATATATAAGTTAAAATTGAACATTTTGTAGTAAAAAAATTATAATTATGACTTATGGTAAAAACCTTCTTAGATTTCTAGCTCGTTCAACTATTCTTTCCCATTGATCATCAGAATTAATTTTCTGGGCATCAGGTTGATCCCACCGTCCTCTTTTATTTTCATTTGGTCTATTTCGTTCATCTGTGCTTACAGCTTCTGTAATTTTTCTTCGAAAAACTGCATCATCTACATAAATAAAAAATATTAATTATCATACTTAACAATGTAGTAGGTAAATGTTCGTACAATATGAAGCCATTTTTCAAGACACTACATGAAGTGTAGTGAAAAAATTTAATTATTAGTAATGTATTGAAGGGCAAGTAGAAAAAATAATCATAGATATTAATGAACAATGGATAATTTGAATATTAGTTTGATTCAAACAAAATTATGTAAGAATAAACACAAGAGTAAAAATCAATAATTTATCAAAATAATTTTATAAGTACAATTAATTCCTTGATTCTTGTAAAATATATAAAATATAAATATCATAAAAGATCATATTATTATTATTAGTTATCTAATATCTATGTACTATGCTCCTCTGTCTACAATCATTTTGACTTTAGTTACTACTTTATGACATAAACATGATATATATATATCTAAATAGTTTTTTTTATCATATAACATGGAGGAAAAAGCAAAAATTAAAGTAGATGTTTATTTTTTTATTTAAAATTCTTTCACCATTAAAAAATATTGTTGAAACAGCATTAAAAGCTAATCAATTTCTTGTTGTCTTGTTTAAGAATGTATAATTATTAATTACAATCCTTAAAAGGATCGGAACAAACTTTAGAAACACACTGTTTAAATCTAAAATTATTATGATATAAGTTTAATAATATTTACCAAAATTACTCAAATTGGCACATGCTTTGTATAATTTAAAAAAGTAACATTTTTATTTTTATTATTACTAATAACTAGTATACAACTATGATAACTCAACTATTACATATTAAATGTAATAATATTAATCAGTATAATATATGAAGATACAGCAAGTCTTTAAAGTAAAAATTTTCTCAAGTTTTATAGCAAGTTCAGAATTATATTAAAATGGAATCGAGGTTGGAAGAAATATTTAGAATTTTATAAAAATTAGGCGTTTGATCTATAGATCAGGACAAAAAAATAAAATATAGTGTATATCACAGACGTTTTCATTTAAATAAAATGTACAGAGTGATAAATCATTTAAGCTAGAATGAGTGATTTGATAATAAAATGTAATTCATACGTAAACATTTAAATTGGATATAAAATTTATGTAAATTTAGGTTATTGAACAAGTTTTTTTAAAAATATCGGGTGAAATATTTCTATTTTTCGATTCAAAATCCACAGGAAAATTTTCCCAGTGAGTGGACCATATATTAAAAATATAACACTTAACATTTTTAGATAAAATGTCTGGTTTTTTTTATGTCTATATACACAATGAGTTATTAATAAAAATGCTTCAATTCCCAACTTTGAAGGATGATTTTTGATAAATAATTAGATCAAGTTTGTACTTTGGAGAGATCAACTTTGAAAAGATAACTTTTTTTAATAATCGGAAAAAACAACCAAAAAAAGAAAGAAAAATTGGATTTTTTAAACGTATCAGTTTTTGACTTAATTTATTTAATTATTTTGCTATAATTCAGTACTGAATGAATAACCGCAGAACTCGATATTGTCATTAGGTAAGTATTTACATTATCATTTTTTATAAATAGTAAAATTTTCAAAATATTTTGTCTCATTGAAGGTAATAGGTTGGATTTAGTTGACACTTTGAAAGGCTAAAAATGAAGTATTCATGATATTTTTAAAAGTAATCAGGAAAGACAGATATCCACAGATAATTTAAATTTTTCACCATGAAATTAAATACTAAAACGATGAATTTGATTTTTTACACAATATCGAAACATGTTTTACCTGTACTCATTTCGACTATATAATGTAGTTTATTTTACTTTCTCGCATACATATGTTTCTGATATATTGAAATTTAGGTAATTAAGGCAAGATAGGTACGACAACTTTTGGTTTATGCTGACCACATTTTTTCAGTGAGTTAAAATCTATATAATTATTGACAACAGATTACTGCAGTAATGTATCTATTTTGCCTAAGCCATACGCCGGATAATTTTTTTTAATGTTAGTGTGAAGTGTGTAAAACAATTTATATATTATTAATATTTATGTCTAATAGCTACTTCATATTTACTAATGTTTACCACGATTTTCAGTGTAATCTTAAACATATAAATTATTATTTTTTATTATATTTTTGAATATAATATAAGTAATCAGAACTCGAATTGGAATGGTGTGCAGGGGGCAGAGCTACTTTACTATTTTATTTTTTATTTGCGTATCCCAACTATTATTTTTAATGAAATGGGGAGATAGCGTAATCTAATGCCCATATTAATTGTTCATTAAATATGGATTTAAATAGTTAATTATACTGTAATTACAAAATAATTGTATTACGTGACAATTAATTGTAATAGTTCAATATTTAAGTGAAAATAAATTCATATGTTTATTACTACTAATCAGATCTGTTGGTATATATACGTAAAATATTCAATAGAAATGTAATATTTGAAAAAATCTAGTATAATTAAAGGGTCAGGGGGAAGCTTTTCATGAGGTTTTTGCATTTGGAACCCAGTTTTTAAACTATTAGATTGAGTTTCTCTACATCATTTTTCTTAATTCGAGCATTAAATACATAGAATAAAATAATACATTTTAATATAAATCACTGTTAATGTTAAATACATAATTTATTGTTTCATATAATATTTTGAATTACTCAGTACCCTTGATATGTTATACACGTTTTTGACGAATAAATTAGGTTGAAAACGAAAAGCCAAGCCTAAAAACATGATTGAAACATTGATACATTTTTATTTTGTAAAAGAAACTACATTCATAGGTTTGTTGAGAATCTAAAATGTAGTATTCGGTATTCTTGAAACGGCAACACTGAATAATGCAAGTCACACTAATTTTGTTTTATGGAGTTGTTATCTTTATAATTAACAATGATAAATTTTTTTATAGTTCCGTGTAAATGTGCGGTTCAGACAATTGTGTTTTGAGGTTATCATTCTATCTCTAGTCTATATTTTCAATATTTTGAATTTTGATTTCGGTTTTTTTGCTAAAACAATTTCAAATTCAAATATTTCTACTTTATTTGTCAACTGAGGATTTAAGATAGTTTTTGTTAATTAGTCTGCATTCTTTAACTAATGTTTATTTGTTGGTTACAGGATTTTAAAAAAATGGATAAACCAGTAGTATTATCGAGAGTTTTGAAGGTTTTGGGCAGGACAGGATCGCAAGGTCAGTGTACGCAAGTTAAAGTGGAGTTCATTGGCGAACAAAATCGTCAAATCATAAGAAACGTTAAAGGACCTGTCCGTGAAGGCGATATACTTACACTCCTCGAATCTGAAAGAGAAGCAAGAAGACTTCGATAACGTAAATGTTTTATATTTTATTTAATTATTTTTCTTATAAATCATTGTGAAAAAAATACATTCAACCAACTAACCAATCCGCAGTTTAATGAGCTTAGCCCCTATGATTTGTAGGATACAAGCCTTGTAATGTAGTCATAAAGACAATAAAATTCATATAATCATCACAATAAAAATTTAGTTGGGGCGCTTTTCATTATATTTTATCCAATAACTGTAATATAATTATAATTTTAATAGTTTAACCTAATCTTATACATATTTTACAGTTCACGTAGCCAGGGGCACCTATGTTTTTTGAATTACCACCTATGACAATTTTATTTTGAAACAATACACCCACCAACAAAAATATTCTTCTTCAAAACAATATAGAGCAGAAATTACTTAACTGTGTACAACAAGCACATTAGAGAAAGCAAAGGCCCAACTGCTTATATATATATATATCGTTTAAAGGTTTAATATTTTAAATATTTAATAATACCTAAACATATTATCTTCTCAATTAATTTTTACATGTTGTATAAGTGTAAATAGCTTTTCATTACCCATGGGCTATATCGCCTAACATTAATGCCAAAGTTAATGATATAATTTAATCACATGATGTTTTATAACAAAATATAAATATTAAATACAGTTGTGTACTTGTGTGTATTAGATGTAATGTATAACTAATGAATACCTAGTATTTAGCCAGTAACAATCTGGGCATGTTTTATTTATAATTGAACGTAGTAAAATATATAGAAAATTGAACTCAGGTTCCCATTATACTTCACATTATACTCACCCACTCACTATTACATTTGTTATAGACAAAATTAACTTTTAGCGCCTCTACATATAGCCATGCTTATAGCACAAATCATAATTATTTATGTTTTATATTATTTTTTACTAAAAGTTATAACACTATTATAGGTTCTAAAATAATAACTTTACAGCTTTACATTTAAATTTGTTTGAGTTTCAATTATAAATTAAAAACCATTAATATGTTAAATTTAATTTTGATTTTTTAAATACATTTGTATACCTTTAATACTTTGTTTAACTCGAAAAATTATTTGACAGCTAACTTGCATGCAGGGATGACTCATTATACTTGATAAGTTTACAAATATTAACTTAGTGGGAACCACAAACAGTTATCTGAATACTACCCAACATTAATTGGTTAACATCCAGTACATTTTCTTAAATTTAACAAGTGTATATTAGATCCGCTATACTTTTTAAATATTAAATGAATACTTCTAGGCCTTGTTTAATGTTTATTAATGTCATAAACTTCAAATTACTTACACTTGAATATATTTTAATATAGAAAAGATTAAATTTTACCTATTTATGCTGTAGCACTTCTTAAAAATATTTTTCTTGTTAATATTTTCCAACATATTTAATAATTTAAACTTATATTTTAATTAATTGTTTTTTTCAGATTTTTAATGCAAGTATATTATCTTGAATATGAAGTAAAGAAGATTAAAATCACAGAAACAAAAAAAAATGTAATAACATAAATACAACAAAATAAATACATGCATTAAAAATAGTGGTTTTTTTTTCTTTTATTATCAAAAACTTATTTCTTAGTTTTAGTATTTTACAATGCAATTTTTATTTTATTATATTCAAAATATTATAGTAATATAAAATTAACTGAAGATTTAGAATAGTGGTTCTCAATTTTTTTCCAGTGCAGCATTTTAAATAAACATTATATTTATCAGAAATGAAAACTTTAGAATTAATAATTTAAGAAATATGTTTACAAGTTTTTACCTCACACCTATTGGGAGACACTAATATAGAATATAAAATCTTTCAATATTCAAAAAAAAATTTGCTGACTAGTTTTGCTTGGTCTGTACATTTTTCACTAACGACTTGGTGATGCTCAGTTGTGATACATAGTTGTCAAATATAAGCTTTTTACTTTAAGAAAAGTTGGAAAAAATTGGGCATTGCCATTGTTATATAGACGTTTAAATGTGCAGAGTTGATATTTTATTTTGAAATAAAATATGGTTTCAAATTGCCAAATAACCACCAGAATTTTACTTAATTTTTAGCTTAAATATCAATCCTCAACAAAACTTAAAAAAAATAATGTTCAAGTTATGGAAAGACTAATGATTTATTTATTATTCTACTTCAAATTCAATATGAATTTTGATTTCATTAGTTTGATATTTGAACAAAATTATTTCAAATACAATGTTAATTACTTTTTACGAATAAGTTATTATTTTTTTTTTTTTTAACATACAATATTCACTGTTAACACAATAACATACCATTGAGAAGTAATATTTCATTTGTTTTGAACAGATAAATCGTAATCAAGTGGATGATATATTTCAGATAACAATCTGTAAACATATGAAGGAGAATGGCCACCACTAAATAAAAAAAAAAAAATTAATTAATAATATTTAAAGCAATAATTTTTATGATAGGAATTTACTTATTTGAAATAAATAGAGTGACATTTTCTGGAGGGACATAATCATATGTAGGATTGTAAACATCAACTTTTGATACTACTGAATCTGAATAATTCAGAACACCAGCTGGTGAAACAAATTCATTGAATGCATCCTGGTTGTATGAACATAAATAACGTGAACTCAGTTTATACATTGGTGCTAAAACTATTACCTAAATAACCAATTCACCAAATCAGTATAAAATAAATAAACAAACAAAATTAAATAAAATAATATTACCGGAACAGAGTAATGAGCTGCAGCTAAAGCAACAGCATGACATCCATTGAATGTTCTAAGACCTCCATTAGCCATAACAGAATCAACTCCAATAATTACTTTGTTCACTCTAGACATTATGCCAAACATTGTAGAGTCTGGAATTAATGTTGACTGAATCTTATGTTTTGAGAGATTTAATGCTAATTGTCTACCCTAGAAACAAACTAATTCAAATAAAATATTCAAATTGTTTAATTTAACTTGAATTCACATGATTTAAAGGAGAACATTCTGTTATGAATACTTCAAAAATTCTATCCTTAGCAGCTTCTTTTAAAAACATTTCAACTTCAGATGATTTTCCAACAGTGAGAATAATTTCATTAGAATGAATATGTTCAAGCGCTTGTTTAGAAATATCTTCATTACTTAAAAAAAAATACTAAGATTATACTTAACATACTATAAAACATATATATTAAATACATTTTTCTTTTTTTACCTAGATTCTATCTCTATTTGAAATTCATCTAAATGTTCAAAAATTGATAATTTAAGTTCAGGGACAATGCTATTATAGTCATCAAAATCATCTTCAGATGTAACTATTTTATGTAATGAGTCTTGTACATCAATTTCTTCTTCAGAGCTCTGTTTTTTATTTTTATTTCATATAATTCATATTCATAATTAATTAGTTACTAAATTATATCTGTTTAATACATATTTTATAACTAAAAATTACTTTTCGAGCAGCAGTGTATTCTTCTCGAACAATGTTTAATATACGTCTGATAATATTACCAACAATAAATTGTAGTGGTAATGCTGACGTGATTTGGAATCCATATTCTCTCAATTGATTTAGTAATTCTCTAAAAATTAAAAAAATATACTTTACTAGAATATAATAACTAATATGAATGTTCATATTGTAGAACAAATTATGTAAGAACTCAATATTTAATTTATTTAAATAAAAATATTATTCTATATTTGTACTAAGTATTTTATTGGATTAAATACAAAATAAATAAAAAAAAAATTTAAAAAAAATAATTCTGCAATTAATTAAAAATATTACGTACATAGTCGTTGACCAATTGATTGTATCAATAAAATGCCTAAAAAGCTGAACAGTTTTTTCTGCAATTACATAATTACTTTCCCATTTCCTAAAATATATTTAATACATATGAAAATTTAAACATTAATAATCTGATTTTGATTAATATTAATTATTACAGTTATTAGGTAATTAACACTTACTTTATTTTAAGATTTGAAATGTAATTGTCTATTAACATTTCATGAGTTTTTCCATCAATGTCAAGCATTTTTCTAAATAAACAAAAGATTAATTAAAATAATTACAGATCATAAATCTGTAATTTATCACACTTAAATTAACTACTGCTATTTACATTGAAAATTGATTTAAAAATACTAAAAAGTAAAAGTATTTGTTAAAAATCTGATGTTAATACTTAACACAAATAATTTAAATGAAATTTCGTAAATTGTGTGGTTAATACAATAATGTAATAGTTATACCATTGATACCTAATGAATAATGATAGTATATTGTCATAAACTAAATCAATGAAAACATGATAATATTACCTATTATTGTGTGATATTTTCAATTTTGTATTTTTATCAGATGCACGTATAAACGAATCGTGAAACGACAATAGTGAACAGACCACCACACCACTAATAAAATTTATCCTCCAGAGCTTGTCGTTTGGTTAGTGGCTAGTGGTTACTGAGTAGTGAGTACTGAACTACTGACTACTGAGTTAATGTTAATCGTTCAAGTGTTGCTTTGTTGAATACTCGTCAGTTGTCACTTGAATAGTTGAATGTTAATATTGTTAATCAACTATCCAGTATCCACTATCCACCCTCGAGTCTTGTCACTCGTCAGTTGTCTCCATCTACGTAGAAATGTAGAATCAAATGCGCGGTGGATAAAACGGTTTGAAGTGGGGGAACGCATGCGCATATTTGACCAAATTTCGTACACTATATTATACACTACCGGTATTTATTTAAAAAAAGTATAAATACTATAAATGACAAATGTTGAATATAAATTATATTACTATAATTAGTATAATTATCACTAAAACATAGAATTTTCTACACTCATTAACAGCGTTCTGAAAATTTAGATATTGCTTGAGGATTAAGTTGGAGATATTTTACATTCAGACCGTATAGTCATTAGTCATTAGTCCATAGGTGATATATTAAATATTTTATCCCAGTGCAATGACCTTAATGTCTTTAACCTATAAAATTTATTTATTGTAAATATTATGGACATGTATAAATTTGAAAAAATACCTGTGTTGTGTGTAAGTACTAAGTTATTGTTATTATTAGTAAGAAATATAGTTATGACCTAATAAAGCTTTGTGCTATTGTGCCTATCCCTAATATTAAGATTGGTAAATGTTGACTAAATAATTTAAAAAATATTCAATATTTAGTAAACAAATGTTCTGTAAAGAAAATAAAAATAATTATTTAGCCACCAAAAATCGAGGAAATATAATCACATTAATTAATAATTTACTGAGATCACTTATTGTATCAAATAAAAAAGCTTATTCAAGTTTAAAAACATAAAGTTAAAAGATTTTATTTTGTTATAAGTTATAAGTATACTTAATAACAATTAATAGTATATAATTTTAACAAATGTCAAATACCATAGATGTTAATACGGAAACATTTATAGAAAATATTAAACTAATTGTGGTATAGAAGTATATTTGAATTGATATAGGTAATTTATTTTTACTTTAACTTAAAAGTTACAATATATCCCAAAATTCATAATTTAATTTTTAATGAAATTCAAAATTTATTTTTATGTTTTAATAACATGATAATTTGTGTAACCTACCTACCTAATGATAGAACAAATGTATATAAACTAAAATCATATAAATGAGATTAAAATGTTTTACAAACATAAAAATGTTTAAATTTAATACAATGTTAAGCATATATTAAAATGTTGACATAAAGTTATAAAAACATTGAATAGTCAATAATATGTTCGTTATTTTATTTTTAAAATACTCCTTAGCACATATTATGATATATTTGAATTCACAATATTGTCTAGGTTTAATAAACAACTTCACTAAAATAAAAAATATATTTTATTTGTTCAAGAATATTTTGGTAGGTATAAAGTATTATAATAATATAATATACATATCTAAGTGAATGTTGTAAATAAATCAGAATATTATTTTTATAGGTATATAAAATATTATACATTATTCACAATTAAAACATTAAATACTAAGATAATTAAATAACATACTACGACATAGGAAAAAAATTGTTAGATTCTCTATACTGGTTAATATGGTTAATGAAGGCATATTTCCACATTTTGAAATTCATTTTTCTTAATTTATTGCATATATTCCAATGACTAATATTGTTTACTCAATTTATAAAAGTTAAAATGTTTATAGTTATTGAAAATATTTTTCTTTTACATAATTTGAAATCATTATGATACAATATTATAAAATAAATAGTACTTTTCTGTTACTTAAGACTACTTTATTATGCAAAATGTCATAGTTTTGTTGCTCAAAAATCAAAATTTGCCACTTTGATTTGACCACCTTATATTCATTTTAAAAATTATACTTAATTTTTTGTTTAGTGTTTTAATATATTTGGAATAGTCTAATATAACAAGAATGTATCAAATAAATACAAAATAATGAATATTTATTAGTACATTGCCAAATTAAATTTATATTACAATGCTTTAGTGGCTTATTCAGTTTATGAACACAAATACATAAGTCCCAAAGTGAGTTTAGTAAGTGACAACTACTATATTAGTAACAATCTACAAATGGAGTTTATTAAATTTTTAACAGAAGATTTCATAATAATTTATAATACAAAATTTCATGATTCTATAACTGTTCATTATTTATTAAGTTTTTCTTTCTTTAAGTTAAATATAAATAATTTTAAATACTAATATTTTATATTGTTTAACAAATTAAATAATTATTTTTCCATTCCAGTTCTAGTTTTTCTATTCAAGAAAGTATACAAATATTTGATTCGTTTTTGCATTAGGCTCCATTTTGTAGGTCTAGCCAATGGATACACACCGTGTTGTAACATTTTTCTTTTCCTTAATAATATTTGAAACTCATTGCCTTTTACGCCTCTCAACCACGATGGTACATTGTATAGTACTCTGACAGGATGCACAGATTCATCTCCTAAAATATCAATGTAGTCGTTTTGTCCAAAAAGAGCTCTGCGTTCATTCCAAACATCTTTGGGTCTATATATGGGCATTGGTAATTTATTTTTTTCATCGGCTGATCGTGGCAATAACCCAGATTGGAGAATTTTATCATCATTATAACCATATCGTCGAATTAATGGTCGAGCACCTTGTTGGTCTTTCCAATATCGATGACGAACTGGTTGTATATTAATTTTTGAAAATGAAAATTTCAGCGTATTTACTAATGTTTGCATCATTACTTATCTGGAATCAAAAGATAAATAAACTAAATAAAGTATATATTTAAAAATAATGATATTAGGAAAGTTTTCATGTCTTAAATGTTTAAATTAACTTAGAAATATTTAAACTCTTACATTGTGAATTCCTATTTTGTTGAAGGAAGAATAAACTTAAATATTTATTTATCTTGGAAGTTAGAAATTTAAAAACATATAGTTTAATATTTTGGAAAACACGTTCTAAACTTTTAAAATGTATTTATTTATTGTATTCATTATCTGTTTTTATAATATAGAATTGTAAAATGTGATAAATTGATAAGAGATTATTGGTTACTATTAGATATGTATATCTTCTAAAACCATGGTATATAACACGGTCTGGTGGTATATTAACGTAATAATTTATGACCTATGTCTTGTCATTACTTCATTATTAGTTTAAAAAAATTAAAAGTAAAAATCTGGTCCTCAAAATGATCAATATTTGGAAAAATGGCGAATACTATAATACATTTTAAGTATTTAACTAAATAAGATCAAATCAAGGGGTATTTTCAAATTCAAATCGGTTTAACTTATTAGTAGAGTTCGGAAGTTGATGACCTTAAAAACATTAAAAAATTGTTAATATTTGTTTTAAATTAGTAAAAATATTTTTTTTTTTAAATGTATAAATCTATAAAATTCTTAATAAGTTAGCTTACAAATTACTCAAAATTATTACATTTTACTAACTATTATTAAAGCATATTTTATATTGTCAAAAGTAAATGAACGACAATTATTAGCTAATAAATATTTATATTTCCAAAAACTTCTCTCTACATTCACTGAAGTGATAGAAAAAAATCTGAAATTCTAATTAAAAATACAAGAAATTAAACTAAAAAAGAAAATATAACAAAAAATGACTTAAAAATTAAAAAAGCCAAAAAATGCAAAATAAAAATTAGTTATTTAGATTCACATGTTGATGTAACACATTTGTGGTCAGAGTATCGTTTCCAAAAAAAAAAAATACATCAACTTCCAAATCCTACTTATTAGTATTTAAGAGGAAATATCAGTAATACTATAACCTGTAATGCTATTTCATTTGTAATACCATAAAAAATGAATATGAAAAATTATTTACCATGAATTATAAATTGTTATAAATAAGATAAATCCAAATTAATGTAACTAAAATTATAGGTACTCAATAAATTATAGTTAACACTGTTAATTTATTAGTAATTACTATATATCAAAATCACCTAAGCTTTAATTAATATTTAATTATAGTCTTATTCAATTATTTTAAAAATCATTACTAATTTAGTTTATTACGTATTATTCCATATCAATCCTTATTTATTACAGCCTACAGGCTAGATATAATTAATTATATATACCATATATTTAAAAATTATTTACTAAAACTAGCCAAAATAGTCAGATTATCCAATTATTTATAGCATTATAGCTAAGAAAAAAATTACTTCTTAGTAATAAAATATGTCTTTATTTCATAAAATATTTAATAAAGGTAGCTTAAAAATATATTTTAAAAAAGTTTTAATATTTAAAATGTATATATTACCATGAAAATATAAACAATCAATTGTTGCTATGGTGATATATCAAGTATGACTACAGTTTACACATTACACAATCACAACAATAAGCCAACTATTATTAAATGTATTAAAATGGTTTTAATGTAGACAGTTATTGTTAATATTAATAAAGTTATATTAAAATAGCAAAAAAGGTATGAATGATTAAATTTTAAAAAGTATTGTAAATTAAATATATTTCTTCAACATAGGTATTATAAGCAATGGACAAAGATCCAATGATTGAACTTACTGAATTCCATAATAATTTATATGGTCCTATATCAGATTCTAGAGAAAATTTAATTGAAGTAAGTTATATTAAATTTTTTTTTAAGAAATAAGATAAATAAGTATAATTTCTATTATCTATTACAATATTATTATGATATATAGATATATACTCATTATGGTGACTTGAAAATCTCTTTTTCATAGGATAGTATTTATTTTTTTATGCATTGTCCTAATGCCTTTATTAATAATGTGTAGTAGGTACATGAAATTGTACAAATTTTTGAAAATATTAAGGGCTAATAAATTTTAATAATTTTTTTTAAGTTGATTATTCATAAATAGTTAATAGTTTCAGTAGCATACGCAGGATTTTAGTTCAGTAAGAGTTTTCACTATGGATTGATTAGATACCTGTGAAGGCTCTGCCCCCTCTCAATTTATAGCTAAACTAGTAAATATAACCAACATTTTATAGCACAAAATAATTATTTTCTTCTCTTAGAATAAAAAATATCTGATATTAACATATAATGTAATACATACCTACTATACTATAAACAAAATAAAATAACTAAACAGTATTCATACAATTATAAAAGTAATAATTTTATAAATTATATTAATTTATATTTTTATATTAAATTTATAATAAATAATTATTCAAAAGTCCATAGTTCATAGACAATAGACATATGATTTAACATATAAAAAAATTTTGGGAGGAGGAAGAAATTTTGGAGGAGGTTAAAACCCTAGAACCCTCCCCTGCGTACACCACTGAATGGTCTAAATGATTTGACATAATGCATATTAATACAAGATATGTATTTTGTTAGTTTGGTATGAACCACAGTTAAATATAATGTAATGGCTGCATCAATCTACATAATACAATTAAGTAATAGCATAAAACATTGCTAATAGCTATTAAAAATTAATATTAGATGGCTATATAGTCAATTTATTATCAACGTTACAATTACATTATAGAATATAACAAGTCACAAATTAACAGATAAGCAATTGTAGTTTTAAATTTTTGTGTAATATTTTTAAATTGTAAAATTTGAAATTTTATTAAAATTAAATACACAGGAAACATATTTATAAATGTTTTTATTTAAAATTTTATTTTTTTAATAATCATACATTAAAATATTTCTCATATCTTCAAAGTATTAAGTTTAAAAGTATTTTAATCACAAAAACATATACCTAATAAGTTGATATAGTAATAAAACTATAACTTCAAATAACTAGTTTTTTAGTTGATAATAGATACAAAAAAATAAAGTAATAAGATAAAAAAATCAATTTATAAAGTTTATCTATAGGTAAAATATAATATATATTGGCCAATTATCTCAAGGACCAAGGTACCTAGAGATTTTTTGAATTTTTATAAATAAATTTAATAAAATATATACATTTATACATACTATTATTATAATAATATAATATATTAATTATTAGATTTAATTTCTGATATATTTTGGGATCAAATAATACATAGTTTATTTTATTATTATTTTTACCTAAGAATATTTTCAATGTATATTTTTATACTAAAGACAATAAAGTTTAAGTTTTTAATAAAAAAAAAAAAAGGTTTATGAATTTTACGATAAAATAGCTTAGTTTAAGGAGTTTTCCATAAACTTCAAATATTAATTTAGTTTTTTTTTTCTTAATGACCTGAGGCTAACTACCATTTGATCACTCATGTGCCAACAGCTTTTAATTAACATTTTTTTTTAATAGTATAAATAATATTTTTAAGAAAATGTAATGCACTAAATTCATTTCCCAATATCCATCTACCCACGTTCCACACATTTTAATTTTGAGGCAATTACCTCAAAAAATTTTACTTAAGCACCATAGGTGTAATTAGGGGGACTTAGCCTCCAGTTCAGAGAATATACTTCCTCCCTCAAATGCAGACAAAGCCCTCCATGAGTTGGTACATGTCTACTCTTAAGAGAGCTATAGCCCTCCCCCCAAAAAAAATTTGACAACTCTACGCCTACCTATGTTAAGCACGCTACTGAAGTAGGATATTAAATAAGTTATAAATATGTAATATTTTAATAGTCAAATATTAAAATAACATACTTATAATGATTAATTTTGTGTGAATACAATTTTTTTGCTCTTAAAATTAAAATTATTTATTTTTCAGAAACCACCAGAAATTAAACCAAGAAAAAAGAAATTATTAAGCAAAAATGATATTCAGTCTATGGGATCTAGTTCCAGTAGTAGTGAGAGGTTCCCATTTTTTTAATAAATCATATAAATTAAACAAACATGTATTATGCAAATAAATAGAATTATAACCCATTTGGCATTGGCCATTATAATTTAAATTTATACAGTGTGTAAACGGTAATCGAGAACATTCAATATCTTTGCGTAGAGACCTGATATTTGAATTCTGTTTTTTTGATAGTTGTTATGACATAAAAATACACATTTTTATGGTCTTTGAATTTTTTTTACTTAAATAGTCACGCGCATGCGCATGTCAACTTTTTTTTTTTAATGGCAACCCCCTGCTTTAACCACTAATTATTTTTCGCCTATTTTTTTAATGAATTTTGGTAGTTGAATCAACTTTCTAAGTCCAAAATTGACCAAGTTACAGCAATTCAAAAAAAAATGCTCTCGATTTTCAGCTTTTTAATTGTAACTCTGAAATTAATTATTATAGGATTGTTAAAGATTGACATTTTTATAACTATTTATTACGGTGATATTAATACGTTATTTTAACTTCAATTACTGAATAATTTTCTCTTTAGTTTGTGTAATAAATCATAACTTATTATTTCAGAAAAAACGTAAATTAGTATGTTGTTTATTTCTTTACATTTAATGGATCTATTAGAACGTATTAATAATTAATAACAAATTCAATTCTTATTTAAGTTACCTATTTATTTAGTTAATAAAAATCTTGAAAAAAGTTGACATGCGCGTGACTATTTAAGTAAAAAAAATTCAAAGACCATAAAAATGTGTATTTTTATGTCATAACAACTACCAAAATAACAGAATTCAAATATCAGGTATCTACGCAAAGATATTGAATGTTCTCGATTACCGTTTACACACTGTATACTTAGAATTGGATTAATAGCTAATACCATAATATAACAAAAACAATAAATAAATACTTATTATAAACAGTTTTTCAAAACAATTGAAATCAAAATCTAACACAAATTAACTTTAATATATTAAATATCTCTTTTCTTTGATTAATGCAGTGTTTTATGTATTTATAATTAATTTAACTTGAAATTATGACAAACAACTTTATTGTTTTAAACCATTGATTTATTTGATAATATTTTATAATTAATGATAAATTGGTTTTACAATATGTTTATTATTTAATTACAAAAGATAAAATGGGTAATTTTATACAGGAATGGGTCGGAATTGTCATCATTTAGTCAAAATTCATCACCATTGTCACAAGGTTGGCAAAAAAATAAAAGTAAAATTTGTTTTATTATTATTTTATATTAATGAAGTGTAAAATAAAATTTCAATTTAATTTAATTATCAAACAATTTTGAAATAATAGGTAATAGTGATGTACCTATGCAAATACCTGTACCTCGTCCACGTTCAATATCAAGTACTAATGGATCTAGTATAAGAAGTTTATCTGCTAATAGTCCAATATCACACAAGAGTAGTTTAAAAGACAGTCGATCAATAACTCCAGAAAGTGTTTCCATTGAATTAAGTGACAGTGAAATCACAGATAATTCAAGCAGAATAGTGCCATTAAAGTACTATGAATTCAATCAATAAATATTTTTAACTTTGCTATTTATAAATGATATTTAGTTCTAAACAATTTATTTAATGATTCATTATATTGGTTATAATTAAATAATAAACATCGCATAGTTTGATGTTTTTAATAGTATAATTTCTAAAATAATATACATTTTATTAGAGTTAAAAAAAAAGAAAATAAAGAAAAAAATGGTATGGAGTCGTCAGCTGCATTAAATAATGTTGCTTGTTTAAATAATTTTAATGAAGAAACAAAAAGTAAGTAATTTTACAACAATTTTACAATGAATTTAATAATAATGAATTTTTAAAATTAATACTTAGATGAAAATGAAAATGTTAAATTAGAAATTTATATTCATCAAACAGATGTATTAAAAGTTGATACAAGAATAAGACATCCAAGTGTTATAATTTATATTATCGATACAACTACGTGGGAATATCTAAAAATAAGCGATACAAATGAAATAAATCAAGAAAAAACTTACATTAATCCAATTTTAACAAAAGAATTTGATTTCAAATATCACAAGTAATATTTAATTATTAATATTTTAATTTAAATGCATTAAAAATAAACTTAAAATGTATGTCTAGAACAATAATACCAAACTGGGATGAAAAAGTGGTTTATACTGAACAATTTAAACATATTATAACAGCAAATACAGTAATATTATTTGAGATTGTAGATTTTACTGGAAGTATTCGACCTCTAGTATCAATGAATAATTGGCATAGAATAGCTTGGGCATTTATAAGACCAATTGGATCAAATGGAATTACAAATACAGGAAAACAAATAAGACTACAATTATACAAACCTGGCCCAAAACCGAAGTCTTTTCACAAAAACTATCCAATGGTAGGTATCCATAATGTATAAGTATAGTATAATTTGTAAGTTAACTAGATAAATATGTCAGTATATATATATATATATATATATTTAGGTAATGCATTGGTTTAAAAAAGGAATTCTAAAAAAATATCCTAGCACACTTTATATTAGTTTGAATAAAGTAAAGAACTTAAGGGTAACTGATGTGGTATCAGAGAAAAATCAACAAGAATTAACTTCTATTAAATCTAGTTCACAAAATGATCTTAATTCTGACTTTATCAGTACAAGTCAAGAAATGTTTCAAGTATAAATTAATTAAAATTTTAGACTCCATCTGTCAATAAATAAATAAATAAATAATTTTAATTGTTTTAATAGGAATACAATATTAAATGGAAACGTTTTCCTGGTCAAAAATGTAAAATACCAAATTCTGAAATAGTGAAACTTCAACCAAACTTAGAAGGATGCATGTATTTAAAATATAGTTATGATGGTTTAAAGCTAGCAGTTGCTACAGGAAAAAATATAAATATCTATTCAGTACCCGGATATAAATTGCTTAAACAGTTAATTGGTCATCAAGGTATGTTATAATAGAACCTTATATGGGTAATTCAACTTAATGTTTATAAATAACATAATATACTTGTCAGGTCAAAATGTTCTTTTAATACTTTTTAAATCATATTATTATAAGTTTTATTAACTTTGGTGAATTTACTACAACTCTAGGCCTTTAAATAGTATTATTTCCACGTAAAAATTGAAATATCCGTGTACATTATAAATTATAGAATTATAGGTGAATACAAAAAAAATGTATACTAGTTTTTAGTAATAATGGATTAAATTTCTATATAATATGTATGACGTGTTTTTTGAAATTGGTTTTAGATTCATCAAATTATAAATATATATAGGTACCTATATAATTATATAAATATTACGATGTTTTTGTTATTAAAATTCAAATTAATTTAAAACAAGAATATTTTTTATGAATAACCTCATGTTACAACTTACAAATTAAATATATAATTTAATAGGGTTGACGGTATGACGGTATCAGAACCGGTATTGATATTTGATATTTAAAATCAACTACTATGGTTATTATAATACCGTTAAACGTTATACCGATGACTAAACGTCAAACGATATTTGATCAATCATAGAAATAAACTGAAAATAATATCAACTCTATCAATTATAATGTTAATCTTAAAATAAAATACTAGGTTCGTAAAATCTAAAATTTTAAATAATTTTAGTAAAAAATCATAGTTTTTATCAAAAAAGGTAAAAAAATATTGTAATTGTAAAATTCATTTCATTTTGAATCTTAAATTATAATAAGTATCTACCATCTACCAATTTAATGAGTTAAAAAAAAAAAATTATTTAGGTATTTTAAAAATAACTAATAGTTACTAATGTTAATGCTTCTAATTGCCTAATTATTGATAATCATAGAAAAAAGTAAAATAGATAATATTTACCTATGTCATTAAAGTTTTACACATTATAGAACAAATTAATAATTCCTTGAATTTCCTAGGATACTAGTATATAATCAGATTCACAATAAAAGAATCACACTACATTATATATTTATATTTTTTTTTTTATCTGTACGATTTACAATAATTTTTTTATGTTTTGATAGGTTTGGTATATACATTAAGATGGAGCTATGACAATAATAATTTATTAACAACTTCTTCCGATTATACTGCTTGTGTTTGGACACTAAAAAATTACAACCAAACAGAATTTCAAGTATGGATAATTAAATAGATATTATTAAGTACTAAGTGTTAGATAAATAATTTTAGATTCTTCCGCATCCATCGTATGTATATTGTGCTGAATATAATAAAGCGGTTATAATAACTGGATGTTACGATAGTATATTGCGATTATGGACTTTCACCCATAATAAATGGACATTGTGCCAAGAAATGGAATTCCACAAAGGTTTCATATCAAGTATTACTCTATTGGAAACTACAGTACTTTCGGCCGATAGTCATGGGTTAATTATTGAATGGACGCTCGAAAATAGTAGGTAGGTCATAAACTTATATAAACATTTAAATTTATTTTAAGTATTAATAAATTAGATTAATGTAAAATGCGTTTAGATCATATAATTATGTATGACGTACAGTGGGGTTGGAGGTGCAACCTTCACGAAATGTTTTCAAAACAATTGTGTAGATTAATTTGATATTTTTTATTTTTACCAACAATTAACACCTGCCCGATAATTAAAAAAATATATAAACACCTATATATGATATTTATACGTAATTTTAGACTTGAATTAAAAAGAATTATATCAGTACCCGAAATAAGACAAGTCATAATAAGTAATATAGTTTTACATCCAGCCGGAAAACGGCTTCTAATTCAAACCAGAGATAGTATTTTACGAATGATGGATTTACATACAACAGCAATCATACAGTGGTTTAGGGTAAATATTTACAGTTTATACTTAACTTGGTTCATATTGATCTCGAGAAATACAATTGGTAACTTTAATAGGGCGGTGTAAACAATAAAGTACAAACAGGATGTGTATTAAGTCCTTGTGGTAATCTTGTGTTTGGCTGTGGCGAAGACGGATTAGTTAATGTTTGGGAAGCAAATACTGCTAAGCAACTAGCATTTTATACGAATCGCCAAGATTTAACAACAGCCACTAGTAGTGCAGTAGATTACCATCCACATGATCATATGATAGTATTTGGAATATATACTTCAAATAAAAATTCGCCCATTTATGTTGCTCAGTATAAAAAGTAAGTTATTGGCTGTTTATACATAATTATGAAAAAATCTAAATTTATAAGTACATTACAGAGAAAATGAAACAGACATAGGTTTGAGGTTTTTAATTCCAATAGAACATAAACAAAAAGTTTTTGAACACATTAATCACCAGACAGCAGAATATGAATGTTTAAATAAATTTAAAGTAAAAGAACATGATAATCGACGCATGATGCCATTAGTCAATATAATAAAGAAAATGGACAATGTTTTAAATTCATTTAAGATAAAAGAATAACACAATGTACTTATTAATAATACCAATAAATGTACTTATTTGGCAGTAACGCCAAATTAATAAAATTATGATGGCCAAAATATTTATTTTTGTAACTGATTATAATATTTTTTATGTTGTATTTTTATTGAAAAATTTAATATTAATAAAAAATTATTTACAAATAGCGTTTTATTAATAAATATACATTTTTACCTATTTTAAACTAGATCAAAATAAATCCGCGAAATAACAGAATGGTTGTAGAATGATTAGAATGTACACATGATCTAAAGACAAATTGTTAACATGTTAGTACATTTTAGATTTTAAGTGAAGCGATAAACTTAGTATGTGATGGATAATGGTTATTAACAGAGTTAGGATATTTTAACTGTGTATATATATTTATATACATTATGCATGACCTATGGTTTTAGAAAATAGCTTAACATTTATCTAAATACTAATTAAATAATATTATGTATAGTAAAGTCTTTGATTATAAATAATAAAATAAGGTAAATATAACAATGTAAGTAAAATTTCTAAATTCTCACAAATAATATTTTAAAGAATAACTAACATAAATATTTTTCGATTAAATATCAAAATATAAACTTTAAAAATTCATAAAACTATTGTGCTTATATAATTTTGGTTTCACTATGAAATACTTATGAGGAGCCTTGTATACAATTTTTAAACCTTAGCTATAAAAATTTAATATTTTATTAATTACAATACATAACTATTATGTTAAAATTTCAATTTTAAACTCATAAAAAAAACAATGCCAATATATTTTTGAATTTCTGTAAAAGCAATTAATGAAGAAACTTGTAATACATTTTCAAGCTTTTTGTATTTTTATCAAAACTAAAAAATATCTAGAAAATGTCATCGAATTTATAGAAAATAATAATTGAAGTAATGATAGAATGTTTTAAGTTTCTACGGTTAATACTTGTATCTTTGAAGTACAACAAAAGACCAAAAATAATTTGTGAAAAAATGTTATTTTTCGTTAGAATAACCTATATTGGAAAAATATGAATTTCAGTTGCTTATAAACAATAATTATAATGATATATTTCACTTAATTTTTAATTTCTATAAAATAAGCTTGTGATGAATATTGTATCAAAATTTCAAAATTTAGGTAGTAAGATGATAAAATTAAAAATTATATGAACATTTTATAAATTTTATAGACATACAAAATAGTCTGTAACTTTTTAAGAATTCCGTGTAAATTTTAATTTTGAATACTTAAAACATGTTGACTCGTTTTATTATTGTATTTTAATCTCTGATTTTTCAAATTTTGTTTTTGAACTTATAGGTATCAACTAATTGTTTAATACTTTGCCTAATTTTAAAATATATTCCAGTCATAAACTGTCTATATCACTCGTGATCATTAAAATTCATATATTTATCTAAATTTATCAATAATAACATCATTAGGTTCTTCTTTAATGATTATTATTCGAACGTCATTTTAATCGATAAAAATTAGCATAAAAAACATAAAAACTTTAAATTTTAGTTAATTGAACCCTGTGTGTTACTATAACCGGTGTAATTGAGGTGAATTAATTCCTCAAAATCAAATTTAAATGATTTAATAATATCTGAAAACCGATAGATATAAAAAAAATACTTAAAATTTCATAATAATTCATAAAATTCTAGTATGATTGTTGAAAAATTCAATAATTTTAATCGAAACTTTGACTCGATGCCATTTAGTCAATTTTTATTTTAGATCTATGGTAAAAAGAACCAAATCGACTTAAAAAAATTCGGTCTATCCAAATTTGGTATTTAAAACACCTGATGCCATTTAAAAAAATGCAAGTTGTATATTGCGTATGCGCACACGGAAAGATCTAAAAATGTAAAAATCATCAAGAAATGTGTATTTATGTATTCCTTATCTCCTCCCGAAAACCACATATTAATCCGATGTCACTGGACAGACTTATTTAGTGTTACCTTTAAAAGGAACCACGCTGTATAATGCAAAAATATATACTGACCTTTTAAATATCAAAATATATTAAATGTATGAGTTAATTTAGAATAATAAAGTTATGTGTATAAAAGGTTATAAAACAAAAATAAGCAAAAAAAAAAATTGTAAAAGTAAAAAAAAAACTATAAAAGAGGCATAACAAGTAATATCAACAATCATAATTATCATTATAATATTTTATAATAGGTAAAATAAACTAAGAGTCGAATTTATAGCTTGATATAGCTTCATACTAGAATGATAGAGAAATAAACACCAATAAAATTCAAATACATTGATGAACAATAGGCCAATATTATAGTCAGGGCCGTCTTTAACCTTTTTGAGGCCCTAGGTAATCTACATGGGCCTCTACAACTTGGACAGAATACTATATTTTATTAAAACAGGTAAATAGGGAGATGGTAGATAAGAAAAAGTCTAGATTAATTTAACTATAAATGATTTTTATTTTTTCATTTCACATTAAATTTAAATACTTAGTATAATATTAACTTTAAAATAATCCGGAAATTTTGAAAATTCTATTTTTATTGAAGAAGCGCCTTTCTAGGTTTAAGATTGGCAAAATCGTTAATAATTACTTCTTTGAAGTCTATGTTTTTAAGCATATCACATTATATTGACATCAATGACAAACTGTTAAATCTTTCTTGTAGCATTGTACTTCTTAATTCATTTTTAATTCTTTTCAATTTGGAAAAAGAGCGTTTTCCACTACAGTTAGTTACCATTAAACTTAAAAATATTCTTAATGCAAAATTTCTACATTTGAAAATGTGTCTTCAATTTAATTTTTTTTCAAAAGATGATATATTCCTAGTATATTTTCAGTTTCTTCATTTGGGTAGATTACTCGTCTCAAGCTTTCAAGCCTATATATTTACCTGACGCAACCATATTATGCTTATTGTAAACTATTTTTATAGATTGTAAATATCCTATTAAATGTTAAAAATAAAAAAAGATAATAAATATCGATTGGTTGGTGATCTGGCAGGAATTAGAGGACCCCAACAATCGCGGGACCCTGGGCACGTGCCAAAAGTGCCCAATAGAAAAGAAATGCCTGATTATAGTGCTATAGCATTGCTAATAAATGCCGTAATAATATAAAATGATGTCGGGTGGTTATTTTTAAACATCTGTACTTCTATAGCAGTAATATAAAAATTGTTCTTAAAATGTCATTACTACTATAGCAGTGATATTTTAAACGCAATCATTTGAAAGAGGAAGTTTTACTGACCTTATAGATTCCCAAAGACCCGCGGACACTAGAAAATATTAATAAATATAATATCTTTCTTTATTTATAGTTTGCAAATATCTATAAATGACAAATTAAGGTCGAGTTTGGTGAACTTTTATTTTTTGTAGTGTCCATTAAAGTGTTAGGCCGTTTTTGAGTTGAAATATAGTAAAAAGAATTTACGTGTACCGAAAAAGTTAAAAGTTACATCTTTCATCATCAATATATGAACTCGGAACTTAAGAGCGGCTATTTTGACATAAAATGTTAGCAAATGTAGTTTTGACAGAGGTCTGTATACGCTCAGAATCGTTTTATTACTATGATGATTCATCATTATTTCTATAAATTTAATAACAAATGAGTCAAACAACTTCTTAATTTACCTGTCTTATTATTCCTATTATATAGGTTACACAATATTTGGTATTTTTATTCTGAATTGTATGTCATACTCTGAGATAGAGTTAGTTTTTAAATTTTTTATGAAAATTCAAAATGTACGTTTCAGCGATCTCTATAGAGATCTGGCGCCAACGTTTTAAATCTGCAGAGGTGCGTAAACATGTTTTTCAAGTAGAATAAATTGCATTATACTTGCTGTGCTCTCTTATGTTTGTAAGTAGTATTACAATTTATAAAAATATGATATTTACATTATTCAAGACAATATTTTTCTTTTTTCAATTTTATCAAATAATACTACTTATTAAATTTTAAATTTCGGAAAATTAACATAAATGCTAAATAGCCAATAGGTAGATACATAATTTTGTATTTAAATCTACAAATCTAAACGGATATAGTGTATATTATGACTTGTAATGATTATTATTCAAGGTTTTTCCAAAAATACGATAATTCATTTCCTATAACAGGCCTTAATAAACACGCTATCCTCGTTTATGAACAAATGGTGGGGCATCAAGTATAATTGAATATCTACACATAAAATGTATGATTTAGTTTAGGGAGGGGGGGAACCAGAATGGATTTCTGTTCATTTTGTTTATTCGCTATCAATTTATTGCAAATGGTCGTTACTCGTTAGTTACGTTATGTAAGTCAGCAGACTAGTAGTGTTGAGTGCTGTATATTAAATATTATATTACACACAAATAAATAAATATAATTTATATATGTTATCATTGTTCTTACGAGTAACGAAAGTAATAAAATGCGTTATATACATATCTGGAAAGCAATCGGTGCTTTGATTTTTGTGAATTATTGTCAGGCACTTGAGCAAGGTACGTCGTGTGAAGAATATTTTTTAATTTCTAAGACATTTATCAAGTTCAATTTCAATGATATCTATGTATTATCATCATATTATATTATACTGTTGAATATGGGCACATATTAGTTTTTATTATACATGCACCTACATAGATGCTACATGTTTATACAGAATAACAGAGGTGATACGAAAAGTATTATAGTTTATTATTATTTTGCGATTATAGGTATTTGATTGTACACACTACATCGATACTCATCCTACTTAAAGTATAATTTGTGATAAAACATTCAAGTTACCATGAATAGATTAGTTAATAAATTTAAACCACGATTATAACTGATTACTTAATACTTAATTGAATAAAAATATTAAATCGCGGTCAGAAAATTCAATAAACCACCCACCCCCAAAATATTTACTGCACTAAAAATTGTACATCTCTTCAAGCAGTCAAAAATCAAACCTTGACTGTGTATAAAAATATAGGTAATACATATATAAGATGCTTATAGTGTATAAATAAATTTCTCAATTTTTAGTTTTTTAATTAATAGTATCAATAATCAATTATACATTCAAAGATGGTTATTTCCAAGTACCGGGGACGTAAATATACTTATCATATAGTAGGGTTTCGACCAATTGTGGAAAATTTAAAATGGAATTACTGAGTCTCTAAATTTACATTCCCGGTTTGATTTAAATCATTTTTACATGCTACATATCAATCCTATATGCGTAATGCATATACATGCAATTATGTGAATATTAATTATAATTATAATCTTGCTAAATATTTTGTTTTAAATTTAGATGATGTTAATATTGTAATTTGGACTATGGTCTGTAATCATGTAAAATTTAAAAATAAACAATTAAAATACCTATATGTACAATAATTAGGTATAGTAAAAATATGTATGAAAATGTTTAGTATTTATCATGTTATAATTTGGTAAGAACAGTCTGTAGTAACTGGGGGAAAAAAATTGTAATTAATAAAATCAAATCAGTTTCACAATTTCCTGTAACATGTTTATTATTTAGGATACAATAATAATTGCAAATGTTTGATAGTTGCATACACACAGGAAATAAGCTTATATACTATCTATTTGTGAGTGAGGGTTTAATGATTCGTCTACTGAAACAATAAATTATTTTACAGACTGACAGACGTTAATCAATAAATATTTTAACTTAAAATAAAAATAACTTTTAAAACATTTAAAGCTTTTTGCATCGATTACATTTGTTTTAAGCTAATAAAATACAGGACCTATCAGTTCTATCTAGTTAGTCTAATTGTTTAAAATCTGAAGTAAATAACTAAGATACAGAGACATTGTCTTGTTTCATTCGCATCGATACATAACTATATGATATAAGCTTATTATTATTTTTAAAACAATAATTATCATATTCAAAAATTTATTTTTATCAGATTTTAGAACCTAAAACAGGTTAAGAATTTGGTCTAATTATAAGCTGGTGGTTACTTTAAGTGTTCCTCAAAAGTATTTGAAAAATAACTTATAAAATAAAAATATGCGTTCAAATTATACGTAAATAAAATAGTAACACTGGAAATGTTTCAGAACACATTTTAATTTTTACTATCCCAATAACTGATAAAGATTAAAAATGAAATTTAATTTTTATGAATAACCAAAAAAATTAAATATTTTGTAAAAAAATAATTAATTAAACATTAACTGGAGAGGTAGGTTCGTATTTTAACGTTAATTTATCTTCATTATTAAGTGTTAATTTAAGATACGTGTACAGCTGTGTATTTAAACAGTTAAGTGTCATCATAATATAATATAACAACATAATAACTTTTATGTCTACATATACAAACGGATATACTTATGCATGCATACGCGGCCATTAACAGCATTCCAATAGTTATAATTATTCTAGTTTATAAAACAACAAGTCCATTTATATGCTTATTGCGTTTTATATATAAATATAAATAATGGATTTCATATTTTTTTTCCTAAAAACGATTATAATATGCATTTATTAAATTACGTATATAATATACACACTTAACATTTGGCTTTAATTTTTATCATACTTCATAGTAAATATAAGTCCGTCAGATTTTGTGTTAACTTTACCTAAAGATTAATTGGATGTCACACTGATAGACCACACTTGTTAAAGCGATTTACCTTTGTGTCCCAGATAACACCAGACTTCAGGAATCCTTAAACTTGCTAATGAGTCGGTCTAATTTCACAAAATATACCTCCCCTCATGATAACAATAATGTTCTTAGCTAATATTAATCAATAACTATTCATGTTAAGGCTACCCTATTCTATCATGTAAATAATGTTCACATATAATTTGTAAAATTAAATTTGTGAATTCTATGATATTTGTTATATATTAATGTTTAAAAAAAAGCAAATAACGTTACTTTATGTAATTAAAATTAGTAAAGGATTATGTATTTTATACAAGCCATAAATTAAGGTAGAATTTTATCTTATTAAATTTTATGAAAGTAAAAAATGTGTTTTTTACTCAAATTTCTAATATCATGTGAAATTTTAATTGAGCCCAGGGGTACCGCCATGAGGTTGTGCTGAGTAGTAAATTTCGTGAACATATCTTTATATGAGTATTTGTTACCAAATTTGTTTGAGTATTATTACTACATTTTTTTTATTAGAAATATTACAATTTACAGTTTGTATCTATAAGCAAACTTGATAGTGGTAAGGAATTAAAAGGCATGAGATGGAAGACGCCCCAATACTTTAAAGTAACGGTTCCAAACTTTTTTTCGTTTTGTAGGTACTCCTCGTTAACATTTTTAAACTTTTTCACTTAACTACTTTTAAAATATTTAAATAAAAAATAATAAAACATTTTATGTTACATTCTATATTCCATATTTATTAAATAAATTGACGGTTAAGGTTTAATTTGTGACACAAATTTTCATGTTTAATAACATATATAGAATATTTTCGAAATAAATTGTTTTAAATAAACAAATTCAACATTTTCCACCATTAGTCAATTTTTTTTCATGTACCCCTTGAAATCATCCTGCGTACCCCAGATTGGGAACCGCTGCTCTATAATACTACTACCTAGAATAGAATTATAAAAGGATAACATTGAATTGAGTCCTGCTAATATTTTTGGGTTATCGGAGTTGAGTTTGACCAATATTTTTAGGTTATTGAAGTTGAGTCCCTTTTTTTTATTGTAACAATAAGTATAAAGAGTCAATTAATTAAAAAATATTGAAAATAATAATAAATAAAAGTACTTTTTATCAATAGAATAATTTTTTATCGACCTTTATAGAAAAATACTAAAAAAAATTAAAATTTGTCATGCCTATGAATATTTCAAAAAGAGTTAAAATTTGTTGGAAATATTATCATAATATAGGTATTGAAAATAATAATTTGGAAATTTCAAGTACATACTTATTTTATTATTTTTGAAAATATAACAAAATATTAAAAATTCGTCACTGACTATATAAGTACCTAGTTATGACATTTTATCTTTACGGACGTAATTCAAAGATATTAATATAATAAGCATTATAAGCTAGACTCAATTAAAATACATAAAAGTAACCAAGGACTCAATTCAATATCACCGTTTTAAAAGAATACCATCTGGGTTACTTCTCAGTAAACACTTATTATCTTTTAGACTTCGATTATCTCCGAGGTATTGTGTCTAGGATCTATTTATAAACTTTAGAAGACTGAAAAAAACTTATTCGATTTTTAGATTTTTTGTAGAATATTTATGTATGTATAATAAACAATTTTGTAGTGAAATGCTTAAATGGCTCCTCACATAGATTTCTATTTCTGTTTAGGATTTTAAATTAAAAAACCAAACTTACCAAACTTAATTAGTTAAAATGAACTTATTAAATTATTTTTATACATGTATAATTGTATGAAACATATTTGAAATGAAAAACATCATAGGTACTTAATTTTATTTTTTTGAGAAAATATTTTAAAATATTTATGATAATTTATAACTATTAATAATGCTTATCTTTCATCGGGAAATAGCATGGGGACCTGAATAAGAGGGTAAATCAAAGGATTTGCATTTGCCTCCTCTCTGGAGCTTAAATATAGTTTTGAAAATTTTAACTTTTTTTATTGTTTAAATAAAAATTTCATTAATATTTTAATTTCTATATAGATTTATTCTTTTAAACACACTTTTTGCCTTTATTTTGTAGTTAGCAAATTATAAATTATATTTTGAATGCACATTTTGGTGTTAAATTTTATTATGCCCTTCCCTGATTCATTTACTGTGAGTAATATTTATAAGTTAACTAAATTGATCATATTAAATAACAAAAGTAGATTTTTAAATAAAAAAAATAATAATGTTAAAACATTTTTTTTTTGTCAATAATATTAAAAAATTTTAGGAAAAAAACCAATTAATTTATAGAAAAATGTTTGTTTTAAAAAAATCATTTTTATATATTTTTATATATTATACCTACTTAGGTTTATTAGAATTTTCATATATATTTAAAAACATTTAAAAACTAAAATATTCATGTAACATATTTTTATAATATAAGTATAACTATACATAACTATTAATAATTAATAATTTTATAAGAATATAATAATTCATAAATTTTGGAAACATTATTAATTATTTTTCTTATTTACATTATGCATATGATAAAGATAATTTATTTTTATGTTGTATCCTTTTAATTTGAATTGAAAATTTAATATATTATACATGATATACTAATATAGTGATCTGTATAATTTATTATTCACAGAAATTGGTGATGAGTGTACAAACAAAAATGGTATTGTCGGATTTTGTCAATATAGAAGTAAATGTTTCAGAGATGCTGATTTAGGAGCTATATGTAATTCTGAACAAACTATTATATGTTGTGCTAAAAATGTTTTGAAAAACAAACATTTTGTTTCAAGTAATGATCAAAAAGAAGATCGGTCAATACAACCTCCATTAAACTTTAATCCTGACTTCTTTCATGCACCTATATTACAGCAAAATCCAATTACAAATATAAATTTTTTTGACTATCAAAAACAAAAAAATCCCAATTTCATAGGCAATGTTTTACATCAAAGTTTAAATACTATGGAGTTTATTGAAGACAGACCTTATCAAAACTATGAACAAGATGTAGTTATAAGACCTAATAAAAATAGAACTACATCTATTAGACCAACAATTGAACATGGGTTTTATAGCAGTAATAATAAACCAAATTCAAACAATGAAAATATATTTGGCCATGACCAAACCACTAACATACCTCAAAATTATTATAATTATCCTAATTATGAAACACAGAGACCTGCAAGTCAAAATAATAATTTCAATCGACCATACTATGAAACATACTTACAAAATCAAAATAATAATAAATATCAAAGTTCTGTATCTCAAAGACCGAATTATAATCAATATGATAATCAACCATACCAAGGAGCATACCAATCAAATCAAAATAGTAGACCAAATTATTATACAACCACTAAAAAACCAGAGAATATTTATAGCTTAGGAAATAATGAAAATAATTCACCACTTCCAAACAGTCAAATTAATCATAGTGGTTATGAAGAAAATAAGAGGCCTAAACAAAATCCTAATTATCATAAAACTAGTAGCAGTATATTGTTTCCTGACGATGAACTTGACACAAAATTTACAACAACCACCAAAAAATATTATGAATATCAAGATAGCTCAAATGCAAATAGAAAACGCATCAGTGAAAAAAGTAAAACTAAAATTAGGCTAACAAACAGAATGATAAGCATTAAATATTAATTTTTATCATAGAATGTGAAGAATATTCCAAAACACTGAGAACAACTGTTTCTGTATTACCTCTTGCGATTGACACAGCATCGAAACCAGTATCAATAGAAAAATGTGATTCAAAAGGTGTTGGATTAATTGTCGGTGGAGCTAAGTCTGAATTAGGAGAATTTCCACACATGGTATAATGTGGATAATAGAATACAAGTTTAATATTTATTTATGATTATATCATTTGTAGGTGGCAGTAGGTTTCCGCACAAGCTTTGGAAATCCATGGAATTGTGGTGGTACTTTAATAAGTGACCAATTTGTGTTAACAGCTGCTCATTGTACGCATAGCACACTGTAAGTTAATAACTTCTTTAATTTAAAACTATCAAATAGCAATGAAATAATCAATACAAACCATTAACAATATTGAATTTATAGAGTTACACAACTTTACTTTTTCTATTATATGAGTTTTTTTCAAAACATATGTTAACTAATAAATAATGTTTAACAGAGGTACTCCAGTACGAGTAAGATTAGGAGATCTGAATTTACAAAATGATAACGATGGAGCTCATCCAGTAGAATTTTTGGTGAATGAAATCATTATACATCCTAATTACAATAAAACATCTAAATATAATGATATTGCATTATTACGTTTGGATAACACAGTTAAGTTTAATGACCACATTCGACCAGCTTGTCTTAACAACAATGAAAATATCAATTATTCTCATAAAGTTACTGCCACTGGATGGGGAAGCATTGAATATGGTAATTTAAGACATTCATTATTTAATATGTGTATTATCAATTTTTAATTTTAAAAATAATGTAAAATAATAGTTAATTTAATATAGGCGATCGTTCAAGTGATGATTTATTAAAAGTAGATTTAGACTTAATAGATAATCGGCAGTGTAACAAATTATATGAAGCAGAAAGCAAAACAAGAACCTTAAGTAGAGGTATTATAGATTCTATGTTGTGTGCTGGAGATTTAGCAGGAGGACATGATACTTGTTTGGTTTGTTAAATTATCATAAACAAATAGAACTTAAATTTAAAATATATTTTTAATGAATAATTACTTACTATTTAGGGTGATTCTGGTGGACCACTTGTAATAAGATCAGAAAAAAATGCATGTGTTTTCAATTTAATTGGGATAACATCATTTGGAAAATTTTGTGCAACAGAAAATTCACCTGGTGTATACACTAAAGTTTCAGCATTTTTACCATGGATAGAACAAATTGTTTGGCCCTAAAAATAAGATAACTTGTGTATTATGATATAATATTCATATTTAATAATAACTAATTTTTTTATGTTTATTTAAGATTTTTGTAAATAATTAAAGCTATATCATTTTATTTTATATTTTTAATGTTATTCATATGTATTTGGAAATATCAATAAGATCCATTATCTTCTTGAAGAATAAAAAAAAGAATATATATTGTCTTCCAATTGCAATGTTTCAAGAATATGTAAACATTCAATGTGTTTTCTTTAAATTTCACTAAATATTATTTAAGATGTTCTAAAAACTACATACAAAACTACTTATTATTACAAATATCAAAAAAGTTTAATTTGTGAGACATAACAAATGTATATTACTTTATTTATTATTAATATCTAAGTTATTAATTTAAATTAAAATTTGTATAGACCCTTCAGAAAAACAAATACCCTTCTAAGTAGAAGACAAAGGTTAACATACCATCTTTAGTTGCCTCAATTTTTCTTATCCAAAATAAATTAATACCATAGTGTAAATGGAAATATAAATACCTAATATAAGTTAATTTAAAACTAAAAAAAAAATGTTTAATTATTGATTAAAAAGATAAAAGTTTTTATTCAAAATAAGAGATTTCCATTAAAAAACACAAATTGTAATGTTTAAATTACAAATGTCATAATATAGATAATTATGAAAAAAAAAATCCATTTTACAAAATTTGATACATATACATCATAGTTTAATAAAATATCTATGTACAATAAATTTTACTATAGTCTTAAGTCTTAACATGTGGACAATTTTTCTTTTAAAGCACTTGATATTGAAAATATATTATAACAACTTTACAAGACTAAACTTGGTTAAAAAATATAGTTTGAATGTGCATCTTAGTTTATTATTGATTTTAATTTATAATACAACATTTCTTTGCACAAACACAGAATGATGATGAAAACAAGATAAAGTATCCACTCTTAGAAAATCCTATTAATACTATTTTATAAATTATTCATTTTATATTGCTAACTATAATATTACCTCATGATACATAATCAAACATGTAATTATTTTCATAAATATATTGAACACTTACTTTACATATTTAATTGTTTATGATAATAAAACACTTCATATATATCATTTTTAGTTGGCCATATGAATCCATTTCCTATTGGTTTATGAGTTGAAGGAAATACAATATGTCTCCAATTTCTAAAAAAATAACCATATCATTTGTTTTAATTTGTAATTTATATGGACAAATAATTTATTTCAACAGTTTTAAAATACAAAAGTAATTAATAAGGACTTCCTAAAACCTTATCTTATAGTTTATTATTATTAGCACCCAGAGTAATATGCATTACCATGTTTGTACCACAGAGTATTACCCTATGGTTTGTACATAGATGGGGATAAAATGTGTATGGTTTATATCGCGCTGAATTCAAATATCAAATTCGTCTTGCATATTTTGCATATTTAGAGAATTATTGCATTAGTTCATAAATTTATATAACAAACATATTTAATATTTATTAAATGATAAATCAATTTTACTGTAGAAAAAAAGCTGTTTTGTTAACATAATTTTTCAGAAGAATTTTGTTAAAATATTGTTATAAAAATTGTCTTAAAAGCTATTTTAGTTTTAAATATTTTAATGACAATTCTAAAAATTAAGATTGATAATATTTAAAATATTTATTCATAACATGTGATTTTAGTTCTATTATTTTTAAAGTTTATTGTTGAGTTTTCAGAAAATTTTAGATTTATAATAAATTATTACTATTCTTAGTATAAAAATGGTGTTTTATTTTTTTATACATATTTTATGAAGTATAACATAATGCATATAATTGCATATTTAGCCACTTTTTGAATACATATTTACATCATATTTGACAGTTTTTAATTGCATATAATCCCGGGCTTTAATTATTATACTTTAAGAAAATTTATATACTTCATTATCTATGTTTGTAGTTTTGTACATAAGTTTTAGGAAATATTTTAGTTTTTAAATTATAATATTATACCTATATACAGCTCACTCGCTTAAAAATTAAAATATCTCACAAAACCAATGTTCAAATACAATAATGATCTTACTTTCAAGTTATATTATAGATCAATACATTAAACCTAACAATACAAAATTGATTCTGCTATATAAAAATATGCCATTTTGTATGTTTTAGTATATGAGGATATACTATATCATCATAACTTTAGCATTTATATAATTTTTAAATTAAAATTCAAATATTGTTTAAATTTACCTTCCACTATGAAGTCCAAGAAAGATAATCCAATTCATTTTCATACCATAATCATAAACATTAACATATTCAAAGTTTAGTACTGACAATCTTTCTGTTTCAAATTTATTTATGTGCCCTTCAATACTTGTTTCACCATAACTTATTAATAGACCATGCCACATAGTTAAAATAGCTAATGCAATAAATACTCCTGAAATAATTTGTAGTATAAAATATAATTAATTACTCAATTTCTTTAAAAATTACCACAAGTTATAAAAGTTATAACTATAATACACCAAAATCTCCATTCTGCTACATGGTCAACTTCAATTTTGTGGTTTTCATATTCATCTTGAAGTGTTAAAACCCAATCTGTCTAGATATTGAATACAAATATTTTTAATTTATATATTATAATTAGTCTAAAAAATTAAGTTTAACTTACTTTTGGTAAAGAAGTATTAATTTTAACTGGATGCCCTACTAGATCCTCTTCTTTATAGAATACTTCTGTGAAAACTATATTAGCACCAAATGTAATCAAAAATAATGAACCTAATGTCATATACACCATGTAGAGAAAAAAGTAACGATGGTTATAAAATCCAACACAATTGTTTAACCAAGCTTTAGAATAAACTTAAGAAAAATATTTACATAATATTTCAAATATCATATACATATCTGTTATTTAAAAATTAATAATAAAAATAAGTGTTGAAAGTATCTATAATCTAAAAGATGAAAGAATTTAGAATTCAAATTAAATCATTATAATATATATTTTATACATGTATATCCAAATTAAACAGTGTAATCACAATTTTAAGTAATCCTATACATTCTAGGGAGATAACCTTATATTGAAATTAATTTTTTGATTGAATCTAGGATGACCTGAAATATTTACACATTTTGTAAAAATTTTCAAATAATTAATACTTTCAAATGTTTATACATATTTTATCTAAATGTTTAATTTATTTTTATTAACTATATTTTTAGTGTCATTAACTAAATGTATTTTTCTCATTCAATTTAATAAAATGTTGATACAAAACCTTTCACTTCTGTTAGAACAACTAGGTTTTTAATTTTATGATAAAAACCATATTGTATTTATACTTTAAATTCTTATTTCATAACTCAATAGCAATTTATTATAAGTGTATAATTATTTAAATTTAATAAAAAAACATTTGATCAACCCTAATCATGTACTAAAACTAGGTGTTACCATTAAAAACTTCTTGTTACATATTATAATACATGGGCCCAATAAGTGTTAAGAATTTAAAATTTTTATAAATTATGTATTTTATAGTATTTCCTTGATTCAACAAAAAACTTAATTTAATAAAAAGTTATTGGTCAAAATATTTAGTTTTCACACGAAATTATAATTGCACTGTATATAGTTTAAATAATTGATAATATTATATAAGGATACGACAATGATGGTCCATTTTGAGAATACATTTATTACAAATTGAACAATGGTGTGTACGAGGTGGCTTTGGATAATCACACTTTTTACAAATTACTACATCATTATATATTAAACTGTTCTGAAAATGAACAAACAATTAATATTCTTATTTATGAACTAGTTATTAAGAATAAAAACATTGTTTACTGAAGTAGGAAATCCAGGTGATGTAGTGACTCCCATATAATAATGAAATATAACATTTATTAATAACCAATTTCCAAATATTAACAAGAATACTGTTAAAAGTTTATTATTATTCCACCAATATGGTACACCAATCCAGTACGCTATTGCTACAACAAATGTTGTCAACAAAATCACTAAAATAACCATAATCTAAAAAAAATGAATTTTAATAAGATAACATTATTAGAATTACGAAAACATTTTGTTATCGTAAAAATAATATAAGTTATAACTTACTTTTCCCAAAATATTAGTATATTTATCAACAATCTTAAATAAGGGCTCTAGTAATAAATCACATGCACGTTCATAATTTAGATTTTGATTATTTACATAAGTAAGAAAATAATTTTTAAAGTGATACCATGATTTCTTAAATTTTGTCCTGAAAAATAATTCAAATTTAGAGATACATTATTCATTAATTAATGTACTAAAATAATTTTTGTTGGCAGTATTATGTTTTATTGATTAATTTAAATAAATAAAAATTATATTATAATTACTTTGTTTGCCTTAAAATATACATATTAATTATTGACTAATCAATTACAAAAATAATAAAAGCTTAAAACTGTAAATCAATGAATAAGTTTAATAAATTGCTAATTTAATGTAAATTATTGAAGTTACAATATTACTTATATATAGTTATGGTTGTAAAATATTAATTTTCAATTTTCAATTTTTAAACCATTGATTGTAAGAATTAGATAAGGGTAGATAAACATAAATCATAAATTGTTTTTAAAAACATGGATTAAAGAATACATTTATCTTATCAATCCTAAAACGCGCATTTCAACTTTTAAATAAGAATGTTGATTAAAATAATAATATTAAATTTAACTACCTATAATTTATTGAGTTATTTGAATTTTTCTTTGAAAATTTTATCGAATATTCCTTGATATATTTGTGCTTTTTTCATAATTATTGTTACTTTACTATTTTTTTTCTTATAAAAACAAAAAACATAAAATGCATTTATTAACTGATAAACAACTTTCTAGTACTAATAGGTATTAACAAAGTGAAAGTAAATATTTCATTTTATATCTAAAAACTGTAGTACTAGACTACTAGTGTGTAACCTACACAGTGTAGGTGTAATTATTGTTATGTAACAGGTGTCTGGTGCAAAGTCTATTTTTTAGTTTTTACTTTTATTTTGTCTTACCAAAATCTTAACATTATATATTACTATTATATATAAATACATCACATACTGCAATTGTATTTTGTTATATCCAATTATTCTTTCATATTAATTCTTTAATGTAATTGCAATATAAATTTTTATTTAACATCCATATGGCAACAAAAAGCTCAGAAAATGTTACTGGATATGTGGTGTTTATTTCATTATTATTTGATTTACTGGCATTTACCATGATATTGCCACTTTTTCCATCATTATTAGACTATTATAAACAAAATGACTCTGGTGGATTATATCAATGGCTGGAACAACATATAAGTGTTTTTCAAAAAATTATTGGTGTACCAGATAAGTTTAATGGAGTTTTATTTGGTGGTAAGTAATGTGATTAAATTTCAAAACATAATTTTAAACTAACACAAAAATGAATCGTATAGGTATACTAGGTTCATTGTTTTCATTTTTACAATTTGCTTCTTCGCCTATTCTTGGTGGAATAAGTGATGTTTATGGACGTAAACCAGTGATGATTATATGTTTGGTAAGTTTCATGCATTGATCTTATATTATTTTATATACTTATTTATATCTAAAATAATATTTATTTTAGGTAGGTATTTTATCTTCTTACATAATTTGGTCAAAAGCAACAACATTTTCTTTATTTGTTTGGTCTCGTATTATTGGTGGCCTCAGTAAAGGCAATGTTAGTTTATCAATGGCTATTGTTACAGATGTATATGTACCAGAAAAACGTGGAAGAGGAATGGTAAATACATTTTTTCAGTTTAAATAATTTTGTTAAAAAACTTTTTAAATTTTTTAAAATAAATATGTTTAAACTTTATTTTAAGCTATAACGATAACAACTTGGGTTACAATTATTAGTGGTTAAGTGGTTTATGTATTATAGTTTATTGTTTGCATTGTTTTATCTAAAATATTGAATAATATAATAATAAAAATAAATTAAATAAAATAATTATAGAATTGTAATTTTATATTTATACATTATTCTCATATTTTTTTTCAAAAGATATAAATATATAATTAACATAATATAAAAATTACTTGTATTATAACTTCTATTTTTTTTTTTTAATTTTTACTTTTTTAGGCAATGATTGGAATAGCATTTTCAGTGGGATTTGTATTTGGCCCTATGATAGGAGCAGCATATGCTAAATGGTCTCATGGTCAAGAAGGGGATTGGTTTGTTCAACCTGCTTTACTCGCAGTTGTTTTAACTATTATTAATATAATATTTATAACATTTGTATTTAAAGAATCACTTCCAAAAGTAATGAATATATTTTTTTTTAAATATTAATTTAAAATTGTATGCTGAGATTTTTGTTTATTCTATTATTCTAGAAAAATAGAGCTTCTTCGGTTGCTGGAAAATTATCAGAAGCATTTACTTACATTAATGTAATAGATTTATTCAAATTTAAACTTTTAAATGGTGTTGTTCCATCTGAAGGTAATAATTATTAACTTAATTCTTTCATCAATAACCAATTATACACACACACATACACATATATATTTATATTTTTTTTTTGTTTTTTAATTTTTAGATATTAAGAAGTTACGTACTTTGGGTACTGTCTATTTTATATATTTATTCTTATATTCTGGCTTAGAATTTACACTAACATTTTTGACACATAACAAATTTGGATATACTTCAATGCAACAAGGTTGGATGTTTTTTGGTATTGGTATTACCATGGCTATTTTACAGGGTGGATGGGTTCGAAGAATACCTCCAACACACACAGCTAAAACTGCCACCTTGGTAAAAAATTTTAATTTTAATTTAACTAGAAATATTAAATGCTTTTAAAATGTATTGTTTATTATTGTAGGGACTTTTACTCATAGTTCCATCGTTCATATGTGTTGGAATGGCTGAATCTCCTCCTCTTTTAATTTTTGGTTTATTTCTTTATGCTGTTTGTAAGAAATAACTTATATTTCTTAAGATTATTTAACTTTTTAATAAATTATATTTTTTTTTTTTAGCTACTTCTATTGTTGTTCCGTGTATGACTACATTAGCTTCACATTTTGGATCTAATGCTCATAAAGGCAAAGCTATGGGTACATTCCGTTCTTTAGGCGCTTTAGCTAGAGCTGTAGGACCAGTTTTTGCTTCAATATGTTAGTTTTTATAATTTTTAAGTATTTTTTAATTTGAATTGTAATTAATTATATTTATTTGTTTGTATTTTAGTATATTGGTCAGTTGGTCCAAGGATTACATATTGCATTGGAGGCATTTTATTATTGCAACCCTGGTTTTTGTTAAGGAAAACATTAAAGAACACTAAAGAAAAAATATGATTTACATTTTTGTTATATTATTGTTTTTATATTATTTTAAGTAAATTTATTTATGTATTTATATATGTTGTGACATATGTGCAAATCATGGCTATATTAATATTATTCTCATTTTGGAAATATTAATTGTTAATGAAAAAATTGATTATAAATATTTAAAATTGTCATCAAAAATGAATATATTATTAATTTTATAGTTAATAAATATTTGTTATTGAACCAAAGACTATTGTGGCATATATAAATAAAAATTATCGAAAATTGTTGAATTAAATCTGTTTAATTTTAGTCACTTGGTTTTAAAGATAATATTGAATTAAATAGTTATATTTTTATAATATCTTTTGAAATATTTGATATTTTCTACTATTTAATTAATAATATAAACATTAAAATAAAAAATCACAAAATTTAAATAATAAAATTGTTTTCTCAATTTTTTTTTTTTTCATGTTGATACTTACAACGAGAAAAAAAGCTCTAATATTTATAAAAACTTCTAATTTTTTATTTTAAAATCCAGGAGTTAGCAACATCAGCCGACCTCTTAACACATTAGTGACTGAGGTCAATAACAGCGTTACACCAAGCCACAAATTACTTAGGTAGGTAGTAGCCAGTAGGTACATTATAAATAACGATACGTTTTTTATTTTGTTTTTATTTAATAATATTATTCATGGGAAATTTAATTTTTCTACCCGCAATAATTTTTTTGATTCATAATTAAAATATTATTTAAATTTAGGTATTATAAATCTATTTTTACTGTTTTACGGAAACTAATCACTGAAAGAAGACATTATTAAATTGTGTTTCAAATAAATTGATAATACAGTCAACTCGCGATATAACGAATTTCAAGGGACCGAGAAAAAAATTCGTTTTATCGAAAGTTCTTTACATCGGAATTTGTTATATCAAGATAACCTATTACATTTCTTATCACTAGATTTTAAGAAAAATTCAAAATTTAAATCAATAAAAACAATAAGGTACATATTTATTTTATAATTTTATTTCATATTGCATCCATATGTATAAAATACCTACATAAGTCATATAAGTATGTATTTATTGCTTAATTTCATTATAAATATGTAATAATATTGCTAAAAAAAATATGTTATAAATGTTGTAATAACAATATTGCTTTTCATATAATAATATTGCTGTGCATTACACTTAGGTACGCATTTATTATTTTTAAAATAGCAACATATTTATTTTTATATATTTTTTATAGGGTTTTATACTAGAGACATGTCTTAATTAAAATTAAATATTCGTATTAGCAAGTTCCAAACTTGTAAAAATTCGTTACATCGTGATAGTTTTGATCAAAAAAGCTTCGCTATATCGAGAGGACCAAAATATATTACGTTTTTTCGTTATATCGCGATATTTTCAAGGGACCGCTAATTTCATTCCTTGTATCGAGATTTTCGTTATATCGCAAGTTGACTGTATTATAATTTATTATTATAACAAAATAATAAATGCAATATTTTTGGAAAAAAATATAACAACCTACTATAACATTAAAAGTAAGATAAACGAATTTAATAAATATATTAAGAAAACATTACTTTGAGAGATAGTTTCTGGCACTTTTACTTGATAGTTTTTTGTATACCTACAACGATATAATACCATTAAATTCAAATTTAACGTTCCTATAAATTATAACAATGACCCATTCAGCATTTAATGTATAATAAAACGGTATTTATTAATCCACCTTTTTTTTTTTCAGCCTATTTATTTTATTTTATTATTTAGTATTTACCTGTTGATAGAATTGTGTGGCACGTGATTTTTTTCAGATAAAAAATGCATTTATTTACTTGATAAGAAAATTACTTTTTACTATTTTTCGCAAAATATTCTTATAATTAAGTATATTGTTAATAGAATAGAATAGATATAAGTTAGTAAATAGTTTTAAAAAATAAAAAAAAATGTTGGCTAAGTAAGTTAGGTATATGAATTATGATATCTAATAAATATAATAATATATAATATACATATCTAATATCTATATGAATTTAAATATTGATTTATCAAAACATAATGTAAATATTTATTTATAGAAAGTAAAATGTAAATAAATTTCTTATCAGCAGGCCAGATTAAATGTGTTCTTGGCCACCATTTGATGTCCCCTGTATAACATAATAATTTAGAGAGTGATTTAAAAAAAATAAAATTTATTAAAACAATACAATTATTTTTTAAATATTTTTATTTAACAAATTTATGCATTTTTAATATTGCCTCATAGATCATAGTTTAAATAAATGTAATAAACTAATAAACATTAAATATCACAGTTTCACAGTAAAGAAAATGTCTTTCAATTAATCTAAATTTTACACGAAATAACATTTTTACAACTATTTTATAGATTATTTTTTCAATAACTGTTAAAATTAACACTTATCATCATAAAGTGATGACAATGAGCCAAAAGACATGTTAAATCCTGGTGGTTCCTCGAATTGCATACTAGTTGGATAATTAGAATTGTCACTATCATGAATATCAAATGGAAGTATTGCATGTTGAATTTGATTATCAGGCGATACTCCCTGTATTGAATAAATTTCTTTCAAGACTAACAAAATAGTGTCTTCAGATTCCCTACAAAAATAAAAACATAAAATAATTAATCTTTTAAATAAATAATGAGTACAATGAACTTAAAAAAAATTAAAAAAAACAATGACTTTATAAAATTCCACTTAGTTGCATCAAACTAATACTTTTATTTGAGATCAAATTTAATTATTTAAATATAGCACTCTCGGAATTGATAAATAAATAAGATATAAATTATGCCTAATGGATCATTTAGACCAGTGATTATCAACCAGTTGTCACAGACCAGTAGGGTTTTATGAACTGGTTTTGGATGTGCTGAGAAATTATTGAAAAATTAATAATTTATACATAATATAGTATGAAGGGTGATCAGAGATTTAAATCACCCACAAGTGCGGTTAACAAAAAAAAAGTTGAGAACCACTGATTTAGATCCATAATAAAAAACTCTGAAAACACTTCATTTTCAATATTTTTCCATTGATGGAAAAGGGTTAAAAATAAGAATGTTCACTTTAAAGTTTAAACACTTAGCCATAGTGAAACAACATGCTAACACATAAACTGCATGTTGTTTATTTAAACTTTGAAAAATACTATATTGAACTGTATAATAATAATTTAAACATGTTTACATTTTTGTAATTAAAATATAATTAATTTATCAAATATATATATATATGCTTAATTAATTTGTAAAATATTTACATACCAATAACATAAATGACTGCCTACAGCAAATAAATATTCATTAAAACTTTCAATTGGTGCTTCTTGTAAAACAAAATCAACTCTATTTCCTTTATTTAGAATACCAGGTTTAATATTTTGGTATTCAGAAGTTCTCTGAAACGTACTTGAGTTACTTGTAGAATCTGCTTGTTGAGTAAGTGATTTTTTATCTAATTTCTAATAAAAATAGTAATATTTTTAATAATTAAATATTATAAATCAAATATACAATATCAGACCTTGATTGAAAATACATAAAACAATGATAAATAATCTTAATGCTAAGTATAAATGTTAATTTGTATATTTAATTATAATTTATAAGCAATTGTTTTTTTAAACTTTAAATTTTAAGTTAAAAGATATCTTTAAGTATTTAAGCTCTATTTTAAATTTTTAAATATTTAAAAGCAATCGAGTATTAAAATAAAAAATATTAAATAAAATAAAATAAGATAAAGTTCGTGTAATATTAGTATAATAAAACTGTATACATCATAAAATCAAAATTAATATTAATCGGATAATGAATATACTTACTATCCTAGAGTCATATTCCATTGAACGATTTGAAGTTCCTTTAGAAAACATAGCCAACTGATAAACTGTATTCCACGTATTTTTCACAGAATTTACAAGATGTGTTTTTAAAGCAGCTCCCACATGTGCCATAGTATCTTTTAGTTCTAAATATATAAGATGTTATAATATAAATATACCATAATACTTTTATATTTAATTACCTAAATGCATCCTTTTACGCCCTTTGTGATGTGGTACTTGGAAAGGAGGTATATTTTCAAAAGCAGTATTAATTAATGGCTCAATACGGTAAGCTACTGGATCATATGGGTGAAAAATATTTAGAAATCCTGGGCAAGTAGGAAATTTAAAATTTTCTCCTAAACTTTCAATACCTCGTACTGTTACAAACATACCTGAATTATGCAATAAATTATTTAAAACAAAATCAGTAATAAGTTAGTTATGGAGTACTTAAATGCTAAACAATTTACCAATAGGTGAACCAAAACCAAAAAAGTAATCGAGTTGAAATTTTAGCTGTGGATATGTGATATATGGTTGTCCAGTACCCGCTTTTCCTAATGTTACATATGATGTACCACGACTTAATTTAGTTTTTTGCTCATGAACAACTGATGCCACAGATGATTCCTATTAATTATTATAATAAAATAAAATATAGGTTGTAAATTATTTAAAAATATATTATACTTTATGCTGTATTTAATATTAAATAATATATGTGTATTGATTTTACAATAATACGTTTTTATTTATTTTACGTCCAATAGTTATATTTCACACTTACAGTTTGTTTTGCTGGACTTGGTGGTTGCTGATTACAAAGTAAATCAAATGAAATTAAAGATCCAAGACTGTGACCACCTATTGAAACATGTCCATTAAAATTTGGATTTCTTAATAGATACTGACTATACATTCGATTCATTTCATTTCCAACAGCATTTATTATGGTCTGAAATTATAAACTTGTACATAAATACAACAATTTTTATTATTTTTTTTTTTCAAATAAATCACTTGACAAAATGTGGGACTTGTATAAAACAAAACATCCAATATAGTGTCATTGCTAAAGTTCCTGAGACGTGGGATTGATGGTAATGTAATTCTTTTGAGTTTACAATCAATATCTTCACTATGCAAAGCTAAATGCCAAGAAACTGGTAATACTTCAATTCTACCAATTTTTTCTGATTGACATGATGTTTTAAAATGTGACTGTGTTAACTGA